GCCTTCCAGAGGAGCTGGGACTATGGGTATGTGCCATCCACCGCACCCAGAATATTTTTCAGCCTCTTTTCTTGGGGTTTATCTATCCATCTATCTCTATATATGTATATAATATTTTTACATATTTATGTATATTTACTATAGAGAGGAACAAAAAAGAAAACAAATAACGCACCACAATCTCCCTGACAAGATAACTCCTAATAATATGAAAGTTAAAAGACATTCATTCATTCCTTCAATAAATATTTATTAAGGTCTTCTTGCACCAGGCACTGGGCTAGGCACTGGGGCTATAGCAGTGAACAAATCAAAGTCCCTTGGACTTTCCATTCTAGTCTGGGAGACAGACACGTGTGTGCCTAGAATAGCACTCTCCAAATAGATAGATAGGTATCTCCAATAGAATATTGTTGCGATGATAGAAATGTTCCAGACTTGTGTGCAGTCCAATATGGTAGCTGCCAGCTAGTGATCGCTTGAAATGTGGCTGGTATAACCAAGGAACCAGATTTTTTATTTTTAAGTAAAAATTAAATGCAAATAGCCACTTGTGGCTAGTCATTATCACAGTGGACAGCACTAGAAAATTCCATCCTTACAGTGAGGTACAAGGAAATTGGCAGCATCCCATGGCTTTGGCTGGCTCACATGCCTGGACTTCCCCTACCACGGAGGGCAAGAAACCCCACAGGAAGAGAAAGGAAGTGTGTCTCTTGAAAGGAAATAAACTCAGCTTCTCCTCCCAGCCACTTCTGGGAGCCCATTCCGTGAGAGGTCCAATTTCTCACTGATACAGCAGGAGCAAAACTGGAAATACTGAGTCCCCTTTCCCTAAAGTAAGCATTATTTTTTAGTTCTTTCAGATCAATTAAGACATGAATGCATTCACACACATCTATACATTCCAAACTAAAAGCACACACTGTTCTCATCTTGGTTTTTTTCTATGGAGCAAAACCTCTTGGCATCTTTTCCGTATTAATGAAATCTTACCTTACCTCCAGTGCCTGGCCCACAGAATGCCTGCCTTGAATCAGCCTGAATTTATACATTCAACCACTTTTTATTAAGCACCTAATGTGTGCTTAATGTGGATACGGTGGTGAACCAGACTGGCAAGGTCCCTGCCCTCATGGAACTTAAATTCCAGCAGAGGAAGACAAACAATAAACTGAGTAAATAAGCACATTTTGTGGTGTGTTACTATGAGGTAAGGAATATGGTTAAAAATAGGGCAAGGTGAATGAATTTGGGAGACCTGGGAAGGAGCTACAGGTTGCAGTACTTTTAAATTTTTTTTTTATTTTTTGGGAAACAAGTTCTCGCTCTGTTGCCCAGACTAGAATGCAATGGCACGATCATAGCTCACTGCAACCTTCAACTCCCAGGCTCAAATGATCCTCCTAGCTCAGCCTCCCCAGTAGCTAGGACTACAGGTGTGCACCACCATGCCCGGCTAATCTTTTTTATTTTTTTTGAAGAGACAAGGTCTCACTGTGTTGCCCTGGCTGGCCTCCAACTCCTGGCCTCAAGTGATCCTCCCACTTTGGCCTCCCCAAGAGTTTGCAGTATTCAATAGGGTGCTCAGGAAGGTGTCTTTTGAGCAAACACTTGAAAGAGGTAAGGGGGCTGGGCACAGTGGCTCAGGCCTGTAATCCTAGCACTCTGGGAGGCCGAGGTGGGTGGATCATTCAAGGTCAGGAGTTCAAAACCAGCCTGAGCAAGAGCAAGACCCTGTCTCTACTAAAAATCAAAACAAATAATTGGCCAACTAAAAATATATAGAAAAATGGTGGTGCATGCCTGTAGTCCCAGCTACTTGGGAGGCTGAGGCAAGAGGATCGCCTGAGCCCAGGAGTTTGAGGTTGCTGTGAGCTAGGCTGAGGCCACAGCACTCTAGCCCGGGCAACAGAGCTACACTCTGCCTCAAAAAAAAAAAAAAAAAAAAGAAAGAAAGAGGTGAGGGAACAAGGGAGGGGGCTGAGACAAGAATGTTCCAGCAGACTGAACAGTGCAAAGGCCCTGAGGCAGGAGTGAGCCGCAGTGTCCCCGTACATGGCCCAGGCTAGTGTGACTGGAGCAGAGTGAGTGAAGGGGGGTTGGGCGATGAGGGCAGAGGAGTAAGGAGAGGGGTAAGGAAGGGTAGGTACATCAGATGCCACAGGGCCTTGAACTCTGAGGTAACTCAAGTCACTCTGAGTGATGTGGGGAACCAGAGGAGGGTAAGGAGCCGAGGAGGGACAGGGGATGACTCACATGTTAAGATCCCGCTGGCTATGTGGTGGGAACAAACAGGATAGCAAGGACAGACACAGGGAATTTTAATTTTTCCCAAACAAAGGCTGTACGTAAGAAATGGCTGAGTTTTAATAGAAATTTAGGGACACTGGGGGAGGAGGGGGAGGGGATGGGGTAAGGAAGGTAGGCATTAAATACCAGAGCTGAACAAATGAACAAAAGTAAATGTTGTTAGGTCTCCTCCTCTTCCTGAGATCCTCTCAAATGCATCTACCACTGGAAATCTTGACTTTTAGCTTTTTCTTAAATGCTCCTTGAGAGTCTCTCCTTCCCCTCCCCCCTGTCCTCTGAGGACCCCTTCTTTCATCTTATCCTAGCTCCCAGCCCCTCCATCCCTTCTCTTCAGCCCGACTCTGGAAATTGCCAATTCTTCCCACTTAAACATGGAGAGCAATTCACCTTTTGCCCCCAAGGGCATTTTCCTAAACAAAGAGAAACCCAGAGAAAAATTACAGTTTGCCTACTAGGCAGAAATGCCCGCAGGCAGTTGCGGTATTTTTCTTGCTTATATCAGCTGGGATCTCCCTGCCCGTTAGGATCTATACAGAATTAATTCAAACCTTATTCTTCACCAGTAGGATGGTGAACACCCTCCCCCTCCCCCAAGTTTCTCCTAATTCTCCCCTCCCCCAAGTCTTTGCTTCAGCTAGATCCATTCAGTTTGGGAAATCCATTCCGTGTCTGTTTCCTGATTTGGGGGTACATGGACTAATTTAGTCCTTTTCTTTAATTTCCATACAACCAACCACACACACACAAGGCATTTAGGTATGAGCATGTGAATGTATAGACAGGGCTTTTCTGAACATGTGGGGACACAAAAGGATTTACATCAACTGGCTAAAACTCAACACTCTGCCTAGATCTTTCTGCCTTCTCTGCGACTGCAACCCAATATCCAGCCATATGTCTTTATCTATCTTGTCTTCCCCAAACCTGCACTGTTCATTACTATTTCGATTTAAATTAATTAACATTAGATGAAATTTAAAATTCTGGCCCTTTATCACACTGGTCACTTTTATTTATTTATTTATTTATTTTTTGAGACAGAGTCTCACTCTGTTGCCCGGGCTAGAGTGCCGTGGCCTCAGCCTAGCTCACAGCAACCTCAAACTCCTAAGCTCAAGCGATCCTCCTGCCTCAGCCTCTAGAGTAGCTGGGACTACAGGCATGCGCCACCACGCCTGGCTAATTTTTTCTATATATTTTTAGTTGGCCAATTAATTTCTTTCTATTTTTAGTAAAGATGGGGTCTCACTCTTGCTCAGGCTGGTCTCGAACTTCTGACCTTGAGTGATCCTTCCACCTTGGCCTCCCAGAGTGCTAGGATTATAGGCGTGAGCCACCACACCCGGCCCACTGGTCACTTTTCAAGTGCTCAAGAGCCACATGTGGCTGGTGGCTGCCATGCTGGACAGCAAAGATGGAACATTCCATCATTTCAACATGTTCGTTTGAATAATGCTGGACTAGAGAAAGACAGGTACCTCTAAGAACTGATCTGGTGTCTGTAGTTACGATGACCAAAATTTTACCCCACTACATATGTCACATAAAAAAATAAATACAGCCAGGCCAGGTGGCTAGTGACTGTAGTGACTGTACTCAGGAGACTGAAGCAGGAGGATCGCTTGAGCCCAGGAGTTGGAGGTTGCAGTTAACTATGATCACATCCTGCCTGGATAACAGAATGAGACCCTCATCTCTGAAAAATAAAAGAAAGAAAATTTAAAAAATGTTTAAAAATATATAGAGAGAGTTATACTCTATAGGATTCTAGGACTAGTGTTTGGGGTTTTTTTTTAAGTATAATAGACCTGTACATCATCACCTGTCAGATCATATGCATTTACCTGATACCATAGTTACTCAGTATCCCTAAGTGTGGGTTCATTTATTCACTCACTCACTGATTCCATAATTATTTACCAAACCTCACTGTGTGTGCCGAGAACTGTGCTCCAGCCATAGCATGAGACCGGATGGGCCCCTGGGGAGCTTGCAGTCTCATGGGAGAGCTGAGATTAATCAAATAATCTCAGAAATAAATGTAAAATGGCAGCAGTTGTGGAGGAGAGTGGCAGCATGTGCCACGACATATCCATCCATGAGAACCGATTCCCCACGCCTCTTCGCACCAAGTCTTAAAAATTACGGCCTAGTGGGAGAACCCAGGCAAGTTACAGTATATGTGTGGGCCTGTGTTTCCCCCTCTGAAAAAATGGAGATAATAGTTTCTATTTGGATATTGTGAAGATTAAATGAGTTCTTAGACTAGATGGAACAGGGCCTGGCACAATGTAAGTGATCACTCATTGGTATTATTATTTTTATTATTCTCCCTTCTATGCTTCCATCCTCCTCTTTAAAGTGCTGGAGTAAATGGTACCTTAAGAGGGGCTGCAGTGAGGATTAAACAAGTAATTATTTCATTAATGGTCACAGCTAAGGTTTCTGTAGCACCTCCCTTGCATCAGACATTAACCTTTGCAACAACTCTGGAAGGGAGTTATTTCCTTTGTGCCCATTTTACAGACGTTGAAACTGAGGCACAAAGAGGTGCGATGACTTGCTCAAGAGCTCAAGGCCAATTAGGATTTGGGGCAGCAGGCGGTTAGGGGTGAGGGAGGGTCTGGGCTGGGCCCTGAGGGCATCTAGGTGGGACTGACCCTGCCCTCCATGCCCCCTGCCCCCAGGAAGCTGGATGCCTTCATCTATGACGCAGCCGTGCTCAACTACATGGCCCGCAAAGATGAAGGCTGCAAGCTCGTCACCATCGGCTCCGGCAAGGTCTTTGCCACGACAGGCTATGGCATCGCCCTGCACAAGGGCTCCCGCTGGAAGCGGCCCATCGACCTGGCGCTGCTGCAGTTCCTGGGGGACGGTGCGGCTGTGCGCAGGGGTTTCTGCACGGGAGAGGGGCGGGCGAGACCCCTGGGTCCTGGGGGAGAAGGGGATGGAGACCCGGATACCAGGGTTTGAGGGGGTAAGGGGCTGCGGGCCTAGTCTCCCACATCCGAAGGGAGGGTCCTCAGAGGGTACTTACAGCCGGTGACCTCTGATCCCCCGCCCCCCCAGATGAGATCGAGATGCTGGAGCGCCTATGGCTCTCCGGGATCTGCCACAATGACAAAATTGAAGTGATGAGCAGCAAGCTGGACATCGACAACATGGCAGGTGTCTTCTACATGCTCCTGGTGGCCATGGGCCTGTCCCTGCTGGTCTTCGCCTGGGAGCACCTGGTGTACTGGCGCCTGCGGCATTGCCTGGGGCCCTCCCACCGCATGGACTTCCTGCTGGCCTTCTCCAGGGTATGAGGGAGAGACGGAGACACCAGGGAGGACTGGCAGAGACAGGGGGATACAGGCAGAGAGAGGGAGGAAGCGGGGAGACGCAGCATAGATGGGGAGGTACAGGGTGGGATGGGAAGGAGAGGAGGGAGGAACGGAGGGAAGGCAGGCGTCTCCAGCATCCCGCGCTGACTTCGTCCTGTCCCCTGGGCCGCAGGGCATGTACAGCTGCTGCAGCGCCGAGGCCGCCCCGCCGCCAGCCAAGCCCCCGCCGCCGCCGCAGCCTCTGCCCAGCCCCGCGTACCCCGCGGCGCGGCCGGCGCCCGGCCCAGCGCCCTACGTGCCCCGAGAGCGCGCTGCGGTGGACCGCTGGCGCCGGGCCAAGGGCCCAGGGCCGCCGGGGGCCGCGGGCCTGGCCGACGGCTTCCACCGCTACTACGGCCCCATCGAGCCGCAGGGTCTGGGCCTCGGTCTGGGCGAGGCACGCGCGGCGCCCCGGGGCGCGGCCGGGCGCCCGCTGTCCCCGCCGGCCGCGCAACCCCCGCAGAAGCCGCCACCCTCCTACTTCGCCATCGTGCGCGACAAAGAGCCGGCCGAGCCCCCAGCCGGTGCCTTCCCGGGCTTCCCGTCGCCGCCTGCGCCCCCCGCCGCCGCAGCCGCCGCCGTCGGGCCGCCCCTCTGCCGCCTGGCCTACGAGGACGAGAGCCCGCCGGCGCCCGCGCGCTGGCCGCGCTCGGACCCCGAGAGCCAGCCCCTGCTGGGGCCCGGCGCCGGTGCAGGCGGCGCGGCGGGAGCGGGCGGCGGAACCCCGGCCGCGCCTCCGCCGTGCCGCGCCGCGCCGCCGCCCTGCCCGTACCTCGACCTCGAGCCTTCGCCGTCGGACTCGGAGGACTCGGAGAGCCTGGGCGGCGCGTCGCTGGGCGGCCTGGAGCCCTGGTGGTTCGCCGACTTCCCCTACCCGTACGCCGAGCGCCTCGGGCCGCCGCCCGGCCGCTACTGGTCGGTCGACAAGCTCGGGGGCTGGCGCGCCGGGAGCTGGGACTACCTGCCCCCGCGCAGCGGTCCAGCCGCCTGGCACTGCCGCCACTGCGCCAGCCTGGAGCTGCTGCCACCGCCGCGACACCTCAGCTGCTCGCACGACGGCCTGGACGGCGGCTGGTGGGCGCCGCCGCCCCCGCCCTGGGCGGCTGGGCCCCCGCCTCGACGCCGGGCCCGCTGCGGGTGCCCGCGGCCGCACCCTCACCGCCCGCGGGCCTCGCACCGCGCGCCCCCAGCGGCCGCACCGCACCACCACCGCCACCGGCGCGCCGCGGGGGGCTGGGACCTCCCGCCGCCTGCGCCCACCTCGCGCTCGCTCGAGGACCTCAGCTCGTGTCCCCGCGCCGCGCCGTCGCGCAGGCTCACGGGGCCCTCCCGCCACGCTCGCAGGTGCCCACACGCCGCACACTGGGGGCCGCCGCTGCCCGCCGCGTCCCACCGGAGACACCGGGGCGGGGACCTGGGCACCCGCAGGGGCTCGGCACACTTCTCCAGCCTCGAGTCCGAGGTATGACGCGGCCCCGGGGGCCCCGCCGCCCCCTTGGTCAGCGCAGGCCACGGCCCGAGGGGGCGCGCGGAGGGGACAGGACCCGTGTGGTTTGGGAAGGAAAGCAATGGACCTGGCCGGACCCCGCCTGGAGCAGCGTCCTCTGCCCCCTTGCTTTGGGGGAACCGCGAGCTGGAAAGGATTTGGTCCCCCAAGTCTCACCCAGACTGACAGCGAGGGAGCCGGGGTCTCAGAGCCCAGTGAACCTTTTTATAAACCCGAAAAGGGCTTTTTAATGTCACCAGATGGGGCGGGAGGTTGGGGGGTCACGCCACGCCCGCGCCCCACCCCACGCCCGGGGCCGTGGCCCCCACATCACTGTGCAGCTCCCCGGCCCCAGCCACGCCTCCGGGGAAGCCCGTTTTTAACCTTTCATCCATCGGGACTCAAAAAACTGTGAGACGCGTTCGCCAAACTGTGAGCCCAGACCTTGGCCCCGCCACACAGAAACCCCTGACCCCAGACTGTGACTTCCAACTCCTAAAATGGTCATCCGACCCCAGACTGTGACCCCTGACCCCAAACTGTGCCCCCAACCAGACTGTGACCCTTGACATCAAACCGTGACACCTCTTCTTCCTTTTCCACCCTCAGCCGCTTTTCCCTACTTTGACCTAGGACAGGTCCCCAACGGAAGCCCCGCCCCGCGATGGTCCCAATCTTCCTCAAGCCAAAACTTCCCGCCCTGCCTCACCTCTTTACCACCCCAGGTGCCCCCAGCCACATCCTCTCCAGATCCAACCCTTTGTTGTGACCCTTCAGTCATGACCCAGCAGACCCTCAAAAGCTTCCTTTTCCCAGATCTCCAGCCGGGTCTGGGGCTGGGTTGTGGAGGGGAGGGGCTGGGAGTCCACACTTCACCACCAACCTCCCTTCCCACTCTCCTGTTCCACATTGCAGTGTTTGGAATAAACCATGTTTTTATGCCTCCTCAGCCCAAGCCTGAGCTCTGTGTCTGTCTCTTAGCCCCCCTCAACCTCTCTGGAGGAAACAGAAACTGACGAAAATCCCACAGGGTAAGAGGAAACAGAAGGAGAATTAGAGAGAGAGACTCTGAAGGGAAATGGGGAGAGAAAGACGAAGAAAGAGGTGGTGGGAAGAAACCCTGAGAAGAGAGAGGTCGAGAGAGGGGCCAGGGCACACAGAGACCCCAAGGAAGTGGTGAGAGCAATCTTAGATACGACAGATTTTAGGATAAAATCTAGGGTCCCATTTCCTACGGCTACAGGCAATAAGGCTGTCTAGATTCTTAATACCCTGCTCATGCAAGTGAAGAGTGTCTCACATAGCCCAGCCAATCCACATTATCTAGAATGCTGTTAATCTCACCAATGAGAATCTATTTCTAACATTTCATTATTCCAATTAGCCACACCGCTGGTGCTGATGGACGATAAAGAGAGGCAAAACACTTTTAATAGCTGCCTCCAGAGGCGCTGACCAAAGCTGCAATGTGAACGCCTGGTTAGGCAATTGACTGCCCCTAGAGGGTAGATTCAACCAACTAACTTACACATAATATCCAGCCTGTTCTACACTAAAGCATTTTGAAATAAATTAAAGCCATCATAACAGGGAGAGGAGAAGAAACCGGCTTTATGGGTCCTCGGGGAACAGAAACCCAGTCTCCTAGCCAGTAAGAGCTCAAGTTTGCATATATGAATAATTAATTAAGAGGAAGAAAGCTTTGGGAAGCAAACGTGGAAGATGGAGTCTTCCGGCTCTGAACTACTTTGATTGACTGGGAAAACAGACCTCCTATAGAACTACAACTCCCAGAAGGCCTTGCCACGACTACGAGAAAGAGCGCCTCAAAGTCACGCGGAACATGTAGTTTCGAGGCTTCTCTCGAGGGGCCAATACCCAGCTGACGTCGTTACTTTAGTTCTCTTTTCCTCTCCTTCCACCCCCCTAATTGGTGGGCCGAGGAGGTTTCCAAGGTAACCGCGCAGTGGGACGAATTTATTAGGTGGAAAGCTAAACCCGGAAGTGACGCTATTACATTGCGCCAGCGGTGAGAAGATGGCGGCGCGCAAGGGTCGGCGGCGCACGTGTGAAACCGGGGAACCCATGGAGGCCGAGTCTGGTGACACAGGTCCGAAGGGCTCAGCCCAGGTCTACCTGCCCGGTCGAGGACCGCCGCTGCGCGAAGGGGAGGAGCTGGTCATGGACGAGGAGGCCTATGTGCTGTACCACCGAGCGCAGACTGGTAGGGCTGTGGGCTCGGACTCCTGGGTCCTGAAGGGGGGCAATCCTGAGCCTTTAACATAGAGGCGCTCAGAAAGAGAGGGCTGGGGTCTGAGAGAGGTGCTGTCACACTGGAGACGATTCATCTCTGAGGGTTGAGGTGAGGGTTGAGATCGCCTTGTCCCATCCTAACTCTTAAACCCCTCCTTCCGACCCCAGGCGCCCCTTGTCTTAGCTTTGACATAGTCCGAGATCACCTGGGAGACAACCGGACAGAGCTTCCTCTTACACTTTACCTATGTGCTGGGACCCAGGCTGAGAGTGCCCAGAGCAACAGGTGAGTGAGGCCAGAGGCTTTCCCAGGATGAGGAGCCCGAGACCTCAGCCCCTTCCTCAGAACCCAGGAGTTAGAGCTTCCAGTTTTTGCCTCTCCCAGACCCAGAAATCTGGATTTCCAGCCTCCCTTCTCCTTGAAGATCCTGGCTTCCAGTGTTTTTCTCACCCCACACTTTTTCCCAGATTGATGATGCTTCGGATGCACAATCTGCATGGCACAAAGCCCCCACCCTCAGAGGGCAGTGATGAAGAGGAGGAGGAAGAAGATGAAGAGGATGAAGAAGAGCGAAAGCCTCAGCTGGAGCTGGCCATGGTGCCCCACTATGGTGGCATCAACCGAGTTCGGGTACATATGGTCCCAAGAACCTGCTTTGTATTCTCTGGAGCACACCTTACTCACCTGCTATGTCCATGTCTCTCCCAGAACCTTCTCATGCCCTTCAGCTTTTAGAAAAAAACTTGTCACATCATAGTTTTATATGTTGTATCTTTTTTTTTTTCTTTTGAGATAGAGTCTCACAGGTAAAGTGCAGTGCCATCATCATAGTTCGCTGTATCCTCAAACTCCTGGGCTCAAACTATCCTCCTGCCTCAGCCTCCCGAGTAGCTGGGACTACAGGCATGCCCCACCATGCCCGGCTAATTTTTCTATTTTTTGTAGAGATGGGGTCTTGCTCTTGCTCAGGTTGGTATCCAACTTCTGAGCTCAAGAGATCCTCCCACCTTGGCCTCCCAGAGTATTAGGATTACTGATGTGAGCCACCCCCAGCCTATATATTTTAACTATTATGATAGTTATAATTATATGTTAGGTACTGTTTTAGATTATACGGGTAGTTTTTACATTCTTCACCCTTCTCTTTGGTAAAATAGTGAGAGTTATAAAATTTGATGGGGGCTGGGTGTGGTGGCTCACGCCTGTAATCCTGGCACTCTGGGAGGCTGAGGCGGGAAGATCGCTCAAGGTCAAGAGTTAGAGACCAGCCTGAGCAAGAGTGAGACCCTGTCTCTACTAAAAATAGAAAGAAATTAATTGGCTAACTTATGAGACCCTGTCTCTACTAAAAATAGAAAGAAATTAATTGGCTAAATTATATGGAAAAAATTGGCCGGGCATGGTGGCACATGCCTGTAATCCCAGCTACTTGGGAGGCTGAGGCAGGAGGATCGCTTGAGCCCAGGAGTTTAAGGTTGCTATGAGCTAGGCTGAGGCCACAGCATTCTAGCCGGGGCAACAGAGTGAGACTCTGTCACACACACCAAAAAAAAAAAACTTGATGGGGTTGATAGGAGGATAAAATGAAATAACTTAATAGTATCTAGAACAGCACCTGGTTGTAATATGAGATTTGTGCTTTTCGTACGAACTGTTTTGGGTTGTGAGTGTTCTTTGTTTTTCACTTTGAAGTTAAAGTATCTTTTGACCAGGTAGATGTGTGAATAGAACGAGATGGTGTATGAGTGCACTTAGAATGGTACTGGGCTAATAGCTGTTCTGTGTGTTTCTATTAAATTATTATTACCATGTTTCAGGGCTATTCTAGGTCCAGAGGACTTAGCAGCAAGCAAAAAAAGGTCTCTGGCTCCATGAACTTACATGCTAGTGGGGGAAGGGAACAAGAAGAAACTAAGTAAATGAGTAGTATGTCAAAAAGTGCTATGTGTTGTGGAGGAAAAGTAAAATGAAGCTGTATACGGGGATTAGGGTGTTCCTGGGGTAGAGTTGCTATTTTAGATAGTGCAGTTGGGGAAGTATTCAATGATAACATGTTGTTTGAACAGAGACCCACAGGTAGTGAGGCAGGGAGCTAAGGCTACCTGTGGGAAACAAATTTGCAGGCAAAGGAAACACAAGTTCAAAGGCCCTGGGGTGAACTTGACATGTTTGAGGAGTTTCAAGGGAAGCTAGGGAGTCCAGTGTGTCTGGAACAGAGTGAACAGGGTAGAGGGAGGAGATGACAAAGAATTAGAGGGTGGGCACAGAGGAGACATATTGTTTAGGGCTTGGGCTTTTACTGGGGAGAAATTGGGAGCCACTAGAGGGTTTAGAGCAGAGGAAAGAAGACAGGGTCTGGCTTTTGTTTTAAAGGGATCCCTATAGCTGCCATATTGAGAATCAGTTTTGGGGAGACGAGGGCAGAAAGATAGAGCCCTATTAGGAGGCTGTTACTGCAATTCAGGGGAAGAGTGATATTAGTATTAGCTTGAGTGGCAGCAATAGAGGTAAAGAGAAGGGGGTGGAATTGTGTGTTTTTAGTGTAGCTGGCGTAAGTCTTTGGCATGAGGAAGAAGAGATAAGACAGGAATGAACTATAGTTTGGGGTCTGAGGTAAGGAATATGGAGAGGAGTTGTAGGTGGCAATTAAGAGCTGTTTATGTCCTTTTTGAAGATGCTTAGGTCTCTTTAAAAAATAAAAAATAATAATAATAATAAAAGAGCTACTTATGGCCAGGTGCAGTGGCTCATGCCTGTAATCCTAGCACTGTGGGAGGCAGAGGTGGGGGATCGCTCAAGGTCAGGAGTTCGAGACCAGCCTGAGCAAGAGTGAGACCCCGTCTCTACTATAAATAGAAAGAAATTAATTGGCCAACTAAAAATATATAGAAAAAATTAGCCGGGCATGGTGGCGCATGCCTGTAGTCCCAGCTACTTGGGAGGCTGAGGCAGGAGGATTGCTTGAACACTGGGGTTTGAGGTTGCTGTGAGCTAAGCTGACGCTGTGGCACTCTAGCTCGGGCAACAGAAGTGAGACTGTCTCAAAGAAAAAGAAAAAAGAGCTGCTTATGTTTGAATGGTCAGTGCAGTAAGAGTCTGGAGTTCAGGAGGAAGGTCAAGGTTAGGGCATACTGGACACCTTGAGGCTGGACAAGATCTCCTAGTGAACAAACGTACAGAGGCAGAGAGATCTTGTTTTCAGGGATGGAGGAAGCTTTTGGTCACCACCCTGAGCCTCCTATCCCCACACTTCACACATCCTTGCCTCTTCCCCTGCAGGTGTCATGGCTGGGCGAGGAGCCAGTGGCTGCAGTATGGTCAGAGAAGGGCCAGGTGGAGGTGTTTGCGCTGCGGCGGCTCCTACAGGTGGTAGATGACCCCCAGGCCCTGGCAACCTTCCTCCGGGTAATTTCTTTCTAGTTTTAGTAGAGACGGGGTCTCACTCTTGCTCAGGCTGGTCTCAAACTCCTGACCTTGAGCGATCCCCCACCTCTGCCTCCCACAGTGCTAGGATTACAGGCCTGAGCCACTGCACCCGGCCATAAGTAGCTCTTTTATTATTATTATTATTTTTTATTTTTTTAAGAGACCTAAGCATCTTCAGAAAGGACATAAACAGCTCTTAATTGCCACCTACAACTCCTCTCCATATTCCTTACCTCAGACCCCAAACTATAGTTCATTCCTGTCTTATCTCTTCTTCCTCATGCCAAAGACTTACGCCAGTACACTAAAAACACACAATTCCACCCCTTCTCTTTACCTCTATTGCTGCCACTCAAGCTAATACTAATATCACCCCTCCCTGAATTGCAGTAACAGCCTCCTAATAGGGCTCTATCTTTCTGCCTCGTCTCCCAAAACTGATTCTCAATATGGCAGCTATAGGGATCCTTTAAAAAAAGCCAGACCCTGTCTTCTTTCCTCTGCTCTAAACCCTCTAGTGGCTCCCAATTTCTCCCCAGTAAAAGCCCAAGCCTAAACAATATGTCTCCTCGTGCCCACCCTCTAATTCTTTGTCATCTCCTCCCTCTACCCTGTTCACTCTGTTCCAGACACACTGGACTCCCTAGCTTCCCTTGAAACTCCTCAAACATGTCAAGTTCACCCAGGCCTTTGAACTTGTGTTTCCTTTGCCTGCAAATTTGTTTCCCACAGGTAGCCTTAGCTCCCTGCCTCACTACCTGTGGGTCTCTGTTCAAACAACATGTTATCATTGAATACTTCCCAACTG